AACGGCTTCAGGAAAGATTCTCAGAAGACATTTACGTACTTTGGCAGTACAGGAAAATGGTGCGCTTGCTAAACTTCAAATCTATTGACGAGATTACTAGGATTGTTGATATAGATGCGGTTACATGATATTCATATTAAGCGTTAATTGTCTAATTTATTATGATCTTTACAATAAATAAATAATCGTCTATAAGAGTCCCTCCTTGACCCAGTGATTCATCCACTTCTCAACATCTCTTTGGTTGAGTTCGGTACAGTTTCTAAGCGACTCAGACGCTTTCTGCGATCTCTCTGTCAGCAGAAGCGGATTTCCCATAGCCTCAACAAACTCTCGACGATGAGCAGCAATATCACTGGACTCGAACATCGGAAGCAGCTTGATAGCAGGGTTGTCGGACATGTTAGAGGTATCCTCGGCTTGCAGCCTTTCCAGCCAGTCACTATAGCTCACTAGTGTGACGCCAGCGCCTCTCTTGTTCAAATATTCAGCCACCACGTTAAAGACCGCGCTCCAGCTCGGTGGGCGTGGGTGCACGATGTGTAAAAGATCATGTGTTTTGCCTAGACTTCTTCTGTTGTGCGAAAAGTTTACAATGGCTTGCGCAGCATTGTCTAGCGGGATCCACGCGACTAAATCATTTCCATTTGGAAGACATTTGAGGGCGAGACTAGACTTGATAATCGCTGGTACCCAATTCGAAGAACTCCAGAAACCAGACTTTCTATCACCGCAAAGCTGTCCAATTCGAAGGACAGTCGTTGGTAGTCCCGTCTTCTGTGAGGCGGTGGCCAAGATACGCTCACCAACAAACTTGCTCTCACCATATCCCATTCCAACTGCAATTGCGGGGTCTGAGATCGGCTCCTCGAATGTCTTTTTGCCGACTGGCCAGCGCGCAAGACTTCCGATTGATGACGTGAAGATGACTGCAGCACCTCGACTTGATGTGATCGCGAGGTTGGTAAGATTGACCACACCGGAAATGTCCTGCTCAAATGACTGCAAGGCGACGTTAAAATCGACTCTCCAGGCGTTATGAATGATCACGTCCACTTTGGCACTAATTTCCAAGTAAATGGTCGTACTCAATCCAAGATCTGGCTTTGCTAAGTCGGCTTCGATGAGCGACAGCTTCTGTGATTCAACAATTCCAGCAGCTGGAATGCCCTTCCTAGCTAGACTGTCCACTTGACGCTCTTTAATACTCTTACGCTTTCGAGGATTTGCGCGGTTGAGAGCGTAGACGCGTTTGACGCTAGGGTCATGGATGAGAGTAACGAGAAGTTCGGTACCCAGTCCGCCAGTGGTACCAGTAACAACCACATTCCTACCCTCGCCTGATGGCTTTGACCATCCCTGTGCGCTTTTGCTTTTAAGATCGCGCGTGTGCAAAGCAATCGTTGCATCGATCTCGGCAGCCTTCGCAGCAATTATTTCCTCCTCTGACAGATGTTTGCTGTCGTCATTTAGCAGCTGCCCAACAAAATCGGAAAGAAGAGTGATTTTCGGGTGCTGAAACGCGATTGTTGCAGCTAAAGATACATTTTTGAAGGCTTTCAGGGATGCGACGAGCTTATTGCGGATTATTGTCGCCTGCATAGAGTCCATGCCTTGCGAGACAAGGTCAACGTCATCTTCGACAGTATTGCCGATCACTGACTTGACAATCGCTGAGACAGATGCCAAGACATTCGCACTATCAAATGCAACTAAACCAACGCCAACATCATTCGCGCTGTCGTAAGCTCTGTCGATCTCCTTCCTGTAGAGCTCGATCGCGGGTTTACGCTTGACTGGTGAGTGTCAGTGGGGTGTCTCGGACACTCAGAATAGCAATCTCACTACTGCCTTTTGGAGTAACAGGAAGTGGCCTGCTTAAATCAACAACAACAATCAAGGACTTTTGCAAGCGGGAATGTTGTGGTGCATGCTGATTTGCAGATTCGACGGACGGCCAAATGCCATCAATGAAGCTTTCAGCGTTGTCCACGGTATCATTAGGCTGTATAAGTATACCGTTAACACTTCTTTGTCTTCCAAACATCACCGATCCTGAGATCAGAGGATTTGCATTGATAATGCGCTCGATTGGCTCGGGATTTGTCTTTTCACCAGATGCCAGGATAATTTGGCTGTCTGATCTGCCAACAATCTTAACCAAATTAGGTTTCGTTGGGTGTCTCTCCACAAGATCACCAGTGGCATATCCTTTGACATCATCCAGGTTATTAACAGATGGTACGTGTTTATCGGTTTGGAGGAACTGGAGTTCAAATAGACCATCACCCTGATCAGCCAGCCTGTAGTGGTGATTCGACGAGAGCACCGCAAAAGCCCAGTCGTCCACATTGCTTCGAGGCCTAATTTCGAAGATGGAGCTGGAAGCTCCGCACTCTGTGTTGCCGTAGTTCGAAAGTAGTGGCACACCTTCTTTTGCTAAAGTAGCCCCAATTTCACCTAATGGAGCACCACCAAACATCACTAAATCTAACTTCTTGAGAAATTCGACACTTTCCGGATCTTTGGCCCATTCTTCAATGAAGGCTGGAACGGCGACTACGATGTGGCTTTCCGTTTGCCTGGCACCATCGAGGATACCTTGAGGAGTAGGAAATGGAGGTGGAATGTCAATTTTGGGAATGGTATTGATGTAAGGCGTGGATAGCGATCCTATAACATGAAACAAGATACCCATCGCATGGAACGTTGGCAATGCACCTGCGTAAAGCTTCTTTCCCCATAAATCCATCACATTGTTGTCGGCCGTAGGATTTTGTGCAAGGATCCAGCCCCGAATAGACTCGTTTGTAAGCTTGATAGGCTTTGGAAAGTCACCTGAAGAACCCGAAGAGTGGAGCATGATTACTACATTCGAGTCTTCCTCGAAATGTGGAGGAAGTGGGTCTAAGTTGACGTTGAACTCACCCGACTTTGGCAACAGCATATCTAATGAAGGTGTTTCGATTAGATTAAGCGCGTAGCCATCCTTGGCTAGTTCATTTTTGACTGCTTTGGCGTTTTTGGTGAGCTGTAAAGATGTATTGCCGTATACTAAGTGGTGAGTCTCTGACTTTTTGATAAGATAGGCCAACGCCGCCACTGAATTCCTGTTGGAAAGTGCAATGAATCTATTACCCGACACATTGACACCTTTCGCTATCGAAGAATAGCTTAATATCTCATTTTCCAAGTAGAGCCCGACTGCCTGGTCATTGTTGTGATTAAGTTGATGCTGGATGTAAGCAGCGGCTCTGTAAACAGCTTGATGAGTGTCTTTGCCGTTGAATTTCTGACCACAGGCATCCTCAAAAAATGTGTGATTTGTGTTTTGATCGAGGTGATACCGCACCAGAGATGGTACCGTCCATCTTGTGTTGTGCTGTAGCGAGTGGATGACAGTCAGTTAGCGATCATGGAATGCGATATCACATACAGCTGCTTCAAAGCAATTCATTCTCTATCAATCTCTATCAATTAAAGGATGACAAATACTATTCTTAGTCATATACCACTCAGGAGAATCATATCGCGACCATGAAAATTTATTCGCTCCAAAAAGTGTGCCTCCGGATACAGTTGTTTCGTATGACATCATTATAGGTATGACTTTTTTATGTTAAGAAAATGTTTAAATTAAAGAAAGGCTTGGGGTTAAAAAGAAATATATTATTAAGCGTGATCATGTAAAGAGATGATGAATTTTAGAAGTGGCATATCCATCAAACACATACTCGGAGTTATATTACCTCAATATTTTACCGAACGTCAGCCCTACTCCAAAGAGCCTGTCAAAAAGTTCTAAAGACATGGTGGCGTGAAAGAAAGCTGTCCAATAAAGTATCTCGTTCAGGTACTACAAAATTAGGTGAATCAGGTTACAGAGTTTCCCGCCTTGTCGTCCCTTACCCGTATTATTCAGGTTGCGGGAGCAATTGAAGAAACACAAATTTTTGGTTGTACTTTTTTTTTGTTATTTTACGAGTAAGTGATTAAAATAGGGCAACTCGCTGCTTCTTCACAAAGAAACTCCTAAAATTACGATCGCATTGGCGGAATCACAGTTACGCAAGGTTGACATATTCAAAAAGGACCGGTCATAAATAAGTATTTATTTGGACTAATGACTTACTCTATATTGCTCAATATCTCACACCACTCGCCGGTTCGGAGAAAAAAGTTGTAATTACATAAAATACGTACAACCCTTCCTCCTTCATTGTTCAATAATATGAGAGAGGCTTTAGAAGACGACCAAGTGCAAGAACCAACGGAGAAGTCTAACAGTGCTGCTTCATCAAAACCTTCGGCTAAACGATCATCCAGTACACTCAACTTTGTCAAGGACTGGGCGGCAATAGTGATATGCGTTAGTTGTATGTTGTTCACTCAGGTGGGACTTGGGGCGTATTTGGTAATCACCAAAGAGTTCATAGCGGAAACTTTTGGCGTGCAAGGGTCGCCGGGACAGCAATCATGGTGGGCGCAAGAGACTTACGTGATTGACTTGGCTTAATTAGATTTAGGATAGTAGCCGCTTTCTCCTTGTCAGTTGGTACCTTCGTATTGCCCAGTGGGAGATTGGGTGATATATATGGAAATAAGCGGATCATGTGCATTGGATTCGCATGGTACAGCCTCTGGTCGATGGTGACTGGCTTAACAGTGTACACGCGCTCGATTATATTCTTCGACGTGTGCAGAGCGCTGCAGGGTATAGCACCTGCCTTAATGCTTCCCAACGCTGTAGCAATAATAGGCCGGACATTCCCGCCAGGCATAAAAAAGGCTATATCATTTGCCTTGTTCGCTGCATCTGCCCCCAATGGATTCGTGGTTGGTGCTTTGTTCAGCAGTCTTTTCGCTCAAAGCTCGGTCAAAGCACCAGTTAGCGGAGCTGAATGGGTGTGGTCGACATTTGTGCTTTCTATCGCCCTTCTTGTCATGTTCGGTCTAGCGGTCTGGATTATCCCTCCAGATGGAGACAGAAGCGACCAGAAGGGAATAGGATTCGACTACTGGGGCGCTCTCACGGCAGTGCCCGGCTTAATTCTGCTTAACTTCGCCTGGAATCAGGCAGCCATTGTGACATGGAAGAATGGTTACGTCTGTGCTCTACTCGCAGTTGGCGTAATCTTACTCGGTGTATTTGCTTGGGTTGAGACTCGAGTAGCGCAGCCGCTACTACCACTGACAATTTTCAAGAACGTACACAACAACCTTATGCTCGGATGCGTTGCGACGGGATGGTCCACCTTTGGCATCTGGCTGCTCTTCTCTATCAGATACATCCAAGACCTACGAGGTGTTGATGCGCTTGAGACAGTCTCTCAGATAGTGCCATTTTGCGTAGTGGGTTGGTTAGGAGCAGCGATTTCACCTATCTTAATCATCAAATTCGGCGGCAGCTGGGTGACCATCGGTGCCATGTTTTCGTTCTTGATCGCAATATGTCTAGTGGCTTTCGAGCCTGTGAAGCTCACCTACTGGGCGATGCATTTTGTGAGCTATATTATTGCTACACTCGGTGTGGATATGAGCTTCCCAGCTGCTTCGGTTATCATCTCCGATCACCTGCCGCGTGAACATCAAGGACTGGCTGGATCGCTTATCAACACACTCGTCAACTATTCCATCGCGATCGCGTTGGGTATCGCCGCGACGGTTGAAAACCATGTGAATAACGGCGGTAAAGATCCAGAAGCTGGTATCAGAGGTGCTTGCTATCTCGGAGTAGGACTTTCGGCAGCCGGAGTTTTACTTGCTCTGATCAACAAAATAATCGAGGAGGTTGAAATACGCAGATCGCCGGATCCTCATGCTGCTCGTGAAGCTGGAAAATCTCTGGAGTGAGCGAGCATTCTAGATTAAGGCTGTCTAAATGGATCAGACAGCTTGACAGAAAGCAATTAATTTAAATTATTCTCGTTGTACTTCTGTATATGTTTTAAAAGAAGGCTGGTACAACGGTCAACTTTACAATGCAATAAATCGGCGGAATACGGTAGCTTAGTGCGCTTATAATTTTACCCAGGACCAGATGATCTCATTTTGCAGTTCGGCACCTCATCTCCGATAATCATTTCGGCATCTGTGCGTTTGTAGTTGTGTATATTCGTGGATGCAAAGTGTGTGAAGTAGACTAGATCACTTTGAACGTATTTTGTTCCTCCGTTGTGTATGAATTCGTCTTTCAAAGGATAAAACAGGTACAACACCTTTTTCTCAGCGACCCCGAAATTAAAGGGGAACTCTTACCAAGTCCAGCATCCTCTAAAACACTCAAGCACTATCACTCAATTTCACAAAAGGTATTTCACAAGAGTCATAAGTTGCCTTCAGTATTTTATAACTTTGTCTTTGTTTGGGGAGGTCTGCTTTGTTTGAATACGGACCCCTTATATTCCTGTGCAATGGTACCTAGCTTATTGTGAGTCACTCGACTTATAATTCACACGTTCAACATGGTTTGGCTGTTTGGTAACAAGATACAGGTGATTTGTAAGTGCTTTGACAGGAACTTGGTGATAACGTCGCATTATATCGGTGCTTTACAATCTTATTTCCACATTTGGCGTGCGCGAGATACTCCTAATCTTATCTTTGGGAAAGCGCGGAACAATACATTGGACGATTTGTTCAGGTAGATACTGCAATCAAAGAGAATATGAGAGAGATACAGAGTAAGAGCTGAGTTTGAATAGGAGCGGCCCAGCGTCTACGATTTACTCATGTTCACTAGAAGACGCTGAGGTCGGGCCAGGAAATTCTTTTTACGGCAAACAATACAGCATTACGCGTTTATTAAAAGCGTGAATTTAGGAATTAAAGTCTCCAATTATACAAAAAGTATAATCAGCATTGATTTGAATATTTGTTTTGTTTATAACCTTCGATAGCCACGTGACTAGGAACGAGAGTACTCGATAACCAAAGTCAGCATAAATACCAACTGAATGCATCGACAGCTTTAAATGTAATTAGCCGACTTCGTCTCTCTGACCTCAACCACCAAGACGAGACAGGCCGCAGACGACGATCAACAAATTACGCAATCCATCTTATCAGTAAGGCGATTAGAATAAATAAAAATGGAAAGCATGATAGGTGCGCTATCAGCAGCTTTCTCTACAGACCCACTCATACCTACTCAGTGCCAACCATCCACTGCCCTAGCTGCGTCTATGCTATTCAGAGCGCACTCAAAAATTCAGCAGCCAAAAACGTCTCAGTAAACCTTCTCAATAAATCTGTTTCTTTCGAATGTGATGATAAAAATGCTGCGAAGCGAGAAGTCGTTGGGGCTCTGCACGAAATTGGTTATTCGGTCGATCAGGAGAATTCATTCTTGAGGTCAAAAGACAAAGGAAAATCTCATGAAACGCTCAATACCCGCCACCTCGAAAGCTGCCAGGAGTGCAGAGAGAAGGGCGAAAACGCAACAAAGACTGGTAAATTATTCTACTTTACAAAGCTCTCAGTGGAGGGCATGACTTGTGCTAGTTGCACACAAACACTCTCTTCAACCCTGCGAGGAATGACTGGTGTTGATCCAGACAGCGTTCGAGTTAGCTTGATGTCTGCAGAAGCAGAATTCATCCACGAGCAACTCTCCCTGGAATCCGTGCAGAATGAGATCGATACAATTGGCTACGAAAGCAAAATTATCGAATCATCACCTCTAAAGAAGGAAGAAGACCAAGACACTGTCATAACAAAGTTTGAGTTTAAAGGTATGACATGCGCAAGCTGCTCGCAAACTATCAGTTCCGCCTTAAAACTAGAAGAAGGTGTCCTCACCGTAGACGTATCGCTTACTAGTGCTACTGCTATCGTTGAACATAACAAAGCCGTTGATGTCGCCCACCTTGTCGATACTATTGAAGATATCGGTTATGGTGCTACTGCTGTATCAACTGTGAGCCGAAATGAGGCTAGGAGCAACGAACGCAACGTGGAGTTTAAAGTAGATGGAATGTTTTGCGGTCATTGTCCTTCACACCTGCTAGACACACTGAACTCCCTGCCTCTAATTGCGCACACAAATGACATTACGCTCGATCATCCTTTCGTAACAGTCACGTACACTCCCAATTCTCCTTTACTCACTGTGCGTAGTATCATTAGGGATATTCATCACGCCCATCCGAAATTCACTATAACAGCGGTAGAAAACAATTCGGCGAATTCTTCGCGTTCCACCGCAATTCACTTAGCGGAATCAAAGGCATGGCTGGTCAGAGTGGCAGTATCCGCTGTGTTCAGTTTCGCAGCGTTGGTAATCAATGTTATTGGAATGGAATTACTCAACGAAGATCACCCTGTCAGACGTGAGCTTGAAAGACCCATCTGGGGACAGGCAACGGTTGGTATTGTAGTGATGTTTCTTCTTTCCTCTCCTGTTTACCTCATCGTGGGTTGGAATTTCCACAAAAAGTCGTATCTTTCTCTCAAGGCTTCTTACAAAGCTGTCAGCAAGAGTGATAGGTTTCCATGGATAGCGTTAGTCACGTGGGGTAGTATGGATTTGCTCGTCTCTCTCGGTACGACAGTAGCATACTTTGCGAGTATCGCGATGCTTATTATCGATATCCACTTAAAGACACCCGACGATAGAATGATGGGATACTTTGAAATGCCCATCTTCTTGATATTTTTTATCTCGATCGGGAGGACTCTAGAGAGCTACATGAAAGCGAAGGTGGGGAGGATTTAAGCAATATTTGTCATCTTACAGAATTCTAGACAGGTGATGCTATAAGTGCACTCGGCAAGCTGAAACCAAGCAAAGCGCTGCTTGTCGGGGACAACGACCTGTCCTTCTCTGAAGCAAAGACCAAAACAGACAGTGATTATGACCACGAGAATAGCTCAAGCAGCGAAACAACGCGGTTACTTCCTAATGGTAATAATGTTCCGGCACGCAGCAGCAGAGGTAGTATAAAGGAGACTTCGCTCACACTTATCGAGATCGGCGATACGCTGCTAGTGCAGGCGGGCGAAGTTGTGCCTATCGACGGTCTTATTAGCAGCCGGGGTAACTACCCGTTCGACATGAGCAGCGTCACAGGCGAGAGTCTTCCGGTCACTCTCCACGAGGGTGATGAGGTAATGACTGGAACTACCTGCCTGAAGGCGGTGTTTATGAAGGTGACGAGCACCTCGTCGGAGACGTTGATTGACAGGATCATACGGGTAGTGAACGATGCTCAATCCAAAAAAGCTCCAATAGAGAAGATTGCAGATGCAGTGACTGCGGTGTTTGTTCCTGTGATAGTTTTACTCTCAATTATCACGCTCATAGTGTGGCTCGTCGTTGCTGCAAATGCAGCAGAGCTCGGCGGCAAGATGGATCAAGGTGGCAAGATATTTTTTGCGATACAGTTCAGCGTTGCTACGTTAGTCGTCGCTTGTCCTTGCGGCATTGGTCTAGCTACACCTACAGCCATTGCAGTGGGATCGGGTGTACTCGCCAATCATGGTGTTCTTGTTCAGTCTGGTAGCGAATCTTTCGAGCTCGCCAACAAGGTCCAGATCGTGGTGCTCGACAAGACCGGAACGCTCACAGAAGGCAAGATCTCGATTGTTTCGGAAGAACGTCTCTCTAAGAAGGAGGATGGTTTGCTCGATGAAGACGTACTTTGGGGTATGGTTTCATCTATGGAAGAGCAGTCTTCGCATCCCATAGCCAAGGCAGTAAAGAGCCATGCCTCCGCGAAATCCCACTCACTGTTACCTGACTTATCCTCGTATGAAGAGGTTAGTGGTCGTGGAGTTAAGGGTGTGTTCAGTTGCGACGATAAAATGCTGGAGATGCGCATTGGGAGTGGCAAGTTTGTCGGTGCTGGCAGCCAACCTTCATCGACAGTCGACCGTTGGAGAAATAACGGTAATAGTATTGTGTTTGTGGCGCTAAAAGAGGCTGGTGCAGATGATGAAGCTTTGACGATCACATATGCACTAGCTATCGCTGACTCGCCTAGGGAAGAGTCGAGAGAGGTAGTACAGCAACTACACAATGCAGGCAAGCAAATTTTCATGCTGACGGGTGATGAGGAATTAACGGCGAGGGCTATAGCTAGGGATGTCGGTATCGCTGAGGAGAATGTGATGGCGGGTGCAATGCCTGATGATAAAGTGAAGTATATCGAGAAATTAAGGAATGAAGCTAATTGTAAGCCGCTTTCGCCTACAATGCTCTCGCGCATGAAGAGGTGGATTGGAAAGCCAGACAAAAGGGAAGTAACCCCGCTTGTTATGTTTGTCGGTGATGGACTCAATGATAGTGGGGCAATTATAGCAGCTGATGTGGGCACGTCGCAGGGTTCTGGTAGTCAGATTACCATATCTTCTGCACACTTCATTCTTCTCAACTCATCACTACGCTCGCTCATCAAAATATTCAAGCTATCGAAGTTAGTCAAGACACGCATCATCATCAATTTCATATGGGCGATTGTTTTCAACGTCACTCTTGTTCCTGTTGCTGCCGGTGTCTTTTACCCGCTGGGAGTGAAGCTGCCACCGGTATATTCCGCATTAGCGATGGCGCTTTCAAGCGTGAGTGTCGTAATTTCCAGCCTTTTACTCCGTCTACATCGGCCATCAAATTAGTTTGGAATTTTAGTTATGGTAAACCTTATGTATTATTCTTTGTCCAAAGTACAACAATTTCGAAGTTGATTCATTATGTTCAGGGCTTAAAGTTTAGCAAGCGCACCATTTTCCTGTGCTGCCATAGTACGTAAATGTCTCCTTAGTATTTTGCCAGCCGGTGTTTTGGGAATAGAATCAATTGTGCGCACACCACCACGCAGCTTTGAATGATTGGCGACTTTTCCTGCTATCCAAGCTCCTATCTCCGCACACCAAGCTTCATTGTTGAAGTTAGACGCGTGCTGAGGCACGACATAGGCTCTAGGCAGTTCCGTTGCCTGCTTATCGTCATACACACCAATCACAGCCGCATCCATTACTTCAGTATTCGACATGATCAATGCTTCAAGAGGTGCTGGTGTAACTTGGAACCCTTTGTACTTGATAAGTTCCTGTGAGGGCGTCAGCAAAACTTGAAACAACAAAAGACCATCTCCTACCTTCATTCTATCTACCACCTTGAATAGGCGTGTTTTGCTATCATATATTGCTATATCGCCAGTCTTGAAGAATCCATCTGACGTCATACTCTCGGCTGTGGCATCTGGTCTGTTGAGATAACCTTTCATGACTTGCGGACCTTTAACCCAGAGTCTGAGAGTGTTAGAGGGCACTCATGAGCAAGCTGATACTCACTCTCCACTCGATTTGTTGTCGCCTGGAACATCCTGGCCATTCTCGTCGACAAGGCGCGCTGTAGTGTTGCACACCAACCTTCCGACGTACGAGGGGTGGGTTTTGGTATACTCTAAAGGTAATTTGCATTCCAAAGGGCTCGTTTCCGTGAGACCTTTTGGTGTGTCAGCTATAAAGTGTCTGGAAAGCCACCTTCATAACTTGCCGTATCCATTCGTGATCACTACGACACCTCCCAGCTTTTCACTGACGCTGTGTACGAGATCTTCTCCCAATGGAGTTGCGCCGATACCCAATTGTCTCAGTGAACTAAGATCATACTTTTTTTCAATATCGCTTTTGAGAATATTGTTGAGAATCGGAGGTATTACTGCCGATACTGTGACACGATATTTTTCAATTGCAGCAGCAAATTCGTCAAGAGAGTAGCGGAAAAGCAGCACTTGTGGTACTTGTTGCTGTGAAAGGGTGTATAGAGTGCTTCCTAGTCCAAAAATGTGGTATAAGGGCAGAAAAGAAAGGACGACATCTGTGAGTTGTGAAGCTGAAGAGTGAGTGTTGTTTGACTGGCAAATATTCGAAACCATGTTATAATGCGTTGTCATAACACCCTTGCTTACACCTGTCGTTCCGCTGCTATAGCAAGTGATAGCGACATCGTGTGCACTTTCGCCGTCAAAATTTTCAGGTATGCCCCTTTGCCTTTCCTGACAGAGGAGATGAGCGTATGATACGTGGTTCCTGAAGCTTTTCTCGGTCGCTGATACTACCCTCTCACGTATCTTGCTTTCTGACCACCCTATCTCCTTCAGTATCTTGTTGGTCAGATCGATGTTGTCTGGATGTGCGAAAATGAACGAGACCTCGCTATCTTTGATCTGGTGGGATAGTTCCAAGTAGTTGTATGCAGGGTTGGCAAGTGACACACATGCTCCCGCAGCTTGTGTGCCCATGAAGAGGATAGGATAGACGAGCGAGTTTGGTGTAAGGATGAGTACTCTATCGCCCTTGCCTACGTTTTGGTGTTTTCGCAGCCCATACGCTAGCTGTAAGGAGTATTTACGAAGTTGGGAAATTGTAAGAGAATTATCGTTGGTTGAGTCAATGAAAACAGTCTTGTCATTGGATTGCTGATGTTCCGGTAAAATAAAGTCAAAGATGCTTGTCTTTGGTATTTCTATGTCTTTAAAAGGCGATACAATCATTGTGGGAGTGGTTCAAGATGCGCCCGGTTGTTTCAGAAAGATAACCGGTTGTTGATGTCAGCTGCAATTATCATCTGGCATAATCAGGCGATCAAAATGTATGCTTTATAATGGATTATGAACGCATATAAACATTGCCGCCCCAATGACCTGTTTCCTTGGTATTCAACAACTGAAACAAGGAAAATTTCAAGGTGAATGGCTATTAATTAATAGGTTAAACGGCCCGGAAGTTTAGTTTGTGCTGCTGGGATTCCTTATAAAGACTCTGATGTTAAACATTCTATGCCATTTGCATAATTACAATATTTCATGAGATCGTAATTGTTATCACAAGCACACCGATTAACGGTTAGAATAAGGTTTATATTATTGTGCTGCCAAAGTACGTAAGTTCTTTCTAAGAATCTTTCCTGAAGCCGTTTTGGGGATGACATCGATTGTGCACACACCACCACGCAGCTTTGAATGATTTGCAACCGTATCGGCTACCCAAGCTCCTATCTCCGCACACCAAGCTGCATTGTTGAAGTTAGACGCGTGCTGAGGCACGACATAGGCTCTAGGCAGTTCCGTTGCCTGCTTATCGTCATACACACCAATCACAGCCGCATCCATTACTTCAGTATTCGACATGATCAATGCTTCAAGAGGTGCTGGTGTAACTTGGAACCCTTTGTACTTGATAAGTTCCTGTGAGGGCGTCAGCAAGACTTGAAACAACAAAAGTCCACCTCCTACCTTCATTCTATCTACCACCTTGAATAGGCGTGTTTTGCTATCATATATTGCTATATCGCCAGTCTTGAAGAATCCATCTGACGTCATACTCTCGGCTGTGGCATCTGGTCTGTTGAGATAGCCTTTCATGACTTGCGGACCTTTAACCCAGAGTCTGAGAGTGTTAGAGGGCACTCATGAGCAAGCTGATACTCACTCTCCACTCGATTTGTTGTCGCCTGGAACATCCTGGCCATTCTCGTCGACAAGACGCGCTGTAGTGTTACAAACCAACTTTCCAATATACGATGGGTGGGTTTTGGTATATTCTAAAGGTAATTTGCATACCAAAGGGCTCGTTTCCGTGAGACCTTTTTGTGAGTCAGCTAAAAGGTGTTTGACAGTCACTATCCCGACTTGCCATATCCATTTGAAACCGCGACCACGCCCTCTAACTTGTCACTGAAGCTGTTTGTGAGATCAGCTCCTAGTGGAGTAGCGCCGACGTGCACTACCCTTAGTGAGCTAAAGTCGAATTTCTTTTCAATGTCAGTTTTCAAGATTGAATTGAGAATTGGCGGGACGGCCCATGTAGCAGTAATGCCATATTTTTCAATCACAGCGCCAAATGCGTCAAGAGAAAAGCGGGGTAAAAGTACCTGAGTTACATTCTGCTTGCCTAAAGTGTAGAGAAGGCCTAGAATTCCAAAAATATGGCAAAAGGGTAAGAACGTCAGCGTTACGTCATTTACTTGAAGCGCGAAGGCGCGCGTGTTGTCTGATTGACACAGATTCGCCACGAAGTTCCGGTGTGTTGTCATTACCCCTTTGCTTGCACCAGTTGTACCGCTACTGTAACATATTAAAGCAACATCGTGAGCTGAATCTCCATCGAATTTTTCAGGTATACCGCGCTGAATGTCATCACATAGCAGTTGAGTGTATGGGACGTGGTTACCAAAGCTTTCCTCAGTCGCTGACACCACCCTCTCATTTATTTTGCTCTCTGGCCAGCCGATCTCTTTCAAAGTTTTGATTGCAAGGTCCATGTTGTCTGGATGCGCGAAGATGAACGACGCCTCGCTATCCTCGATCTGGTGGGATAACTCGAATTCATTGTATGCATGATTTGCCGGCGATACGCAAGCTCCTGCAGCCGACGTGCCGAGAAGGAGAATGGGGTAGGCGATCGAGTTTGGACTGTAGATGAGTACTTTGTCACTTTTACCAATGTTGTGGTATTTTCTAAGCCCATACGCTAGCTGTAAGGAGTATTTACGAAGCTGAGAAATTGTAAGAGAATTATCGTTGGTTGAGTCAATGAAAACAGTCTTGTCATTGGATTGCTGATGTTCCGGTAAAATAAAGTCAAAGATGCTTGTCTTTGGTATTTCTATGTCTTTAAATGATGATTTGATCATTGTTGAACTGATTGAAGAATGCTCGACTTAATGAATGCCGTCAAATTATACTTCTGACACTTCTGTTGATGTCCGAGACTGTCGCTGTCGATGTAGGCTACTTAGGATGAATCTGTGAATCTGCGATCATGTTCAGAATCATGTTCAATTTCACGTTATGTGATTATATGGTTGAGGTGGAGATCAATGAAGCCTGAGGTGAAACCTAGTGAATCAACCACGCTAAAAGTCAAGACATTTCGAAGAACCCTGAATTGTTTTTAAACAACGCTTATAAAGATGGATGCATTCATGTTTTGACTTGTTTCGCTGCCTGCTTTAGCTCCAAGATGATGTAATGTGAAGATTTTGCAATAAAGTGATTGTATTGACTGTGCGCCAAATTCACTGAGCGATTTTGTGCTGTCCAAGTTGATATATAAAAAACCACGTCTTCATTTAATACCATGAAAAAGCACCTAAAAAGTAATACACATGCATATTGAATCAAAAGTACAAGTTCCGCTGAGATTGTTTGTGTGTTTGGATATTCGCGCTCGTCGCTCATCTCCTGATAGCGAAGAGAATTAGAATAGAAATCTCTGAAGATGCTATAAGTAGGGCTATTGCCACGACAACAGACACTGCCTGGAAGCTGGTGGGAGACTGGCGGAGTGGGGTAGCAATTGATCCCTTCTCTGCAATGGAGTAGTGTTCTGAGCTTATAAGATGCTTCTCGCTGTCTATGGAGTGTGCTATGACGTAGGAAGCGTGATTTTTGGGGGTTTTAGGGGTATTTGTAGGTGGCTTGTCATTATCAGACGCTTCATTTACGTGATTGGCGGTTCTATGGCTGTACCAGTGCTTGTAAGCCATTTTAGTGACGGTAGTTGGTTGATAAGGGGAGTCGAGAGTATTGACTATTAAATTGAAGGAAAAGAGAAATACAAGGATGCTTGAAATTGATTTAATTTACTTGAAATTACTTGACTTGCTCGTCTATCTCCAACGCCCACCAATGGGAACTCCCAACGCTCAGCTGTTAGGATCAAAGATTGTATTTGGTGGGGAATACACGAGTCATGTCTGCTTAATTTAATTTGTGCGCAGTTGGGAATCTCCCGTACGATATCAATGAGGAGGAAGTTGTCAGGATATTTCAGGAAGTTGGCCCCGTGAAGGACTTCCGTATGAATTTTGACAGGCACACCGGCAAGCCTAAAGGATATGGATTTGTTGAGTATTACGGTGTGTTCGATCCTGTCGACTCACTGTCTCCTTACTCACCCACTCTCCCTCCGCAGACGGCGACACGGCCGCTTCTGCTGTGCGCAATCTCCACGATAATCCTGTCGGTGGTCGGCCGCTGCGTGTCGATCTTGCCCCAGATGACCCCAAGCAGTCCAAGCAGAAGGAGAGGGAGAGAGAGCGTGACCGGTATAGTGGGGGTGG